ACGCTAACTAATCTTAACAAAGTGGGCAACCACTCCAGATGCAATTGCAGCTCGTCACAACTGCAGCAAGCAATAATAAAACAATAAAATGACAACAAACAGACCTGTTACTGAGACCAGTCTTCCGTGTGACACAATTAATTATGTTAACACAATGACAGACAGATGACAACTGATCTAATCAATTACAATAAAAAATATTACAGATGTTTACATGACTTGGCAAATCCAATTATGTTACTATGTCTCCAAGACATTCAAGTCAAAATGAGGTAAACACACACTGTCAACACAGACAGTCCAACAAATCAAAACAAGTCAATGAAGTCAACAACAGCTTATGGGTACAGTAATTAGCAATCCCAGAGTAACCACTCAAGGTTCTGTCACAACTTGACAGCTCAACTTGACTCATGAAGAATTACGGTAACGTTCGGCAGTCGCTGAGATTGTTTGACAAATGCCGATTAGTCAACACGATTACTAGTCACCACGTACTAATCAAACGATAATTGATTATGTTAAATCAATACACTGACTTCAAGAATAATGAACACTAAGTCACGCTGACTTCTCAAGATAAATGAATACTGAGTTACACAATGCAGGGTCACGTAGACCAATGCAAACAGTAGACAGTAATGACACGGAGTCCAACACAAACCATACACAATAATGACACCAAGTCAAAGAACACTGGGTCACAGAGACCAACACAATACAGTGTATAACCGCAACACTGAACAACACAACACACTGGCACTCATATCAATAAAACAATAATGGAATACACACAATACTCTTACTTGTTAATTACAGCATGTCCCCTGGAAGTAAAGAACAGAACAGCATGGACATGGTTAAGTACACAGTAGTGGTATAATATTGAAACCACACTAAACACAGTAAAACACAACAATGGACACACAGTCACTAAATGTGTAATACTGTAATGTAGTGTAAGATGACAAACACACTTAAAGTCCAGCTACAGTAATCACACAGAATAGCTGTAGTAGGCAGCACCTATCGTGCTTCCTCAGGAATTGAACTCGGTCCCGTGGAGGACTTTTGGATAACAAACACCGTACGGCTGACTAGGTCAACACTAGGAATTTGGCACGGACGAATGATACAAAGAACAATATGGTTTGAGTACTCCAGTTAATTACTGGTAATGACACACACTCTCGTTAGCATTCACACTCACTGATTCCTCTGCTGTTGATTGTAGACACAGGAGGCTGCGGAGTGAGGTGAGCAAGGATGGATTGAGGTGTGGCTATGGGGTACACGGTGAGGCGCAGCTGGGCGCAGCTGGGCGCAGCTTGGGCTCTGCCTTGGGCAGCGCAGGTGGTGCAGTGATGTGGCCACTGGTCGCTAAAGGCGAGACTGGCTTGGCTTCCACACTAATAAACTTTTGGGAAGCGCACTCACAATATACACCGGTTATACACACTAGCGTGATTTTTCCTGAAGGCTGACTGAAGGCATGCTGAAATATCTTTGGGGGACCACATGACAGACGCACGGGGTGATCACAAGGTGAACGAAATTTAACAGAGCCCACAACTCCCACAAATTTGAAGATTAAGGCACGATCTTCACTCAAACACTGGGAATCGCATTCCCCGATACCTTTCTCACAGTTTACTGAGCAATAAAATGACAGACTGCTCATACAAAAGCCGATGATACCGGATTAACTAGACACAGTCCAGTTGCACCTGTGGGGTACCACGTGAGGGATTAAGTTCTTCTCTCTCGTATCTTCGTTATGTGACTTCTAGCAGCGCTCTGCAATAATGTAGAGCTATGTAGAGCCACTTAAGCTGGCTGCTGCTTGATGTAGACAGACAAATTACCCTGTTCTGGCCGGAACAGGACAAGACCTCGTCCACTCAGGACAGAGCTTGAGGACAGAATGCCCGCTCTTGGGCGGGTAGAGGCTGGGGTGCTGGCTCCCTTTGTGCTAGGCTCGACCAATCAGGTACGAGCTTGGCTTAGGCCAGTGGTGCCGGCCTCAATGGGAAGAGAGCCAGCTGGTGACGTCACGTCACCAGCAGGAAAACCGTTAAACACTTGAAACAGTGCCTCCCTCTCTCTCCCTTCTTCGTCCCTTGTTTCTAAGCGAAATGAGACCGGGATTCAGGCAAAACCTGTAACTATTTATCCAGAAATGCTACAGCAATGATGATTAGTTCTCTGGATAGCTGAAGGCATCTGCTTTCTAAAGACACCTAATTTTGACCTCCTACCTTCTATACTAAGGGAGATTTTTGTGCACACCAGTGCACATCTCTGAAATTTTCTAAGGCCAAAATATCTATTTTTCTCTTATCTACTATGTGTAAGCTAGCTCAGTGGTCAACCTCTGACAGTACTGTAGTTGAAATAGTGTCTCATTCCCCTCCAGTCATTATATTTGTGCATGGGCGAATTTAGGGGAATTTTAGGGGGGGGGGAGAATAAGCTATCCACGAGCTGATATAAGTGCGGCAGGTAACAGGGTCGGGGTCTGGGGGTCAAGCCTCTTTCCTGTCCATCCATTGGGTATTTCCTGTCCATCCATAAACAATACACAATCACACCTTCACCAATATAGTAACACCTTTACTTCTATATATATTATATTAAAGTATTACTACATGTATTTACAAAATGTCTCTTTCATTCAGGACACAATACATCGGCAGTGTTCATCAATCCCGGTGAATCCACTTTCCAGGTATATGTCGTCCACTCCTAATGGCAAACACTGGCGAGTTCATCTTCTGCAACATGGGCCAGTCCACACACACTGTATCTTCATGATGTGCCAATACCCCACCTCCACTCTCCAGAGCCGGTCGGCCGAGCGGACAGCACGCTGAACTTGTGATCCTGTGGTCCCGGGGTCGATCCCGGGTGCCGGCGAGAAACAATGGGCAAAGTTTCTTTCACCCTATGCCCCTGTTACCTAGCAGTAAAATAGGTACCTGGGTGTTAGTCAGCTGTCACGGGCTGCTTCCTGGGGGTGGAGGCCTGGTCGAGGACCGGGCCGCGGGGACACTAAAGCCCCGAAATCATCTCAAGATAACCTCAAGATAAACACTGGCAGAGGGTTTCAGCAACACGCTGACTGGGGTCTCAAACAATAACATACAGGAGTAGCTAGCACCCTGGCAGAAATCTCTAGCAGCTCGCTAGCAGCACTTCTCAACAGACGCACCAGTGTTGTTGCGTAACTCTTCCTGGTCAATCCTGGGCACGTCGGCCTATCCAACACTGCATAAACTAGCAGCTAACACACTGCAATAACTGACGGTGGCTGCTTTGTCCTCACACAGGACCAAGTTGAGAGTTCTTGGACTGCCCAAAGTGAACTGCTCTCCTTGACACAATCACCTCCTTATGTCACCTCTGTGAACATTATATGTCATTAACTAGATGGACAGTACACTGGGTGACCTTAGGATAACACCTATTCACCAGGGAATTGAAATTGCAAATTGTTGTCGCAACCTAGATGGTGTTGATCTCGATACGCCACCCATCAGAGGTCATCATCATCGAACTCCTCTTCCAACTGAGGCAGGAGACCGGGACCTTTCACCGATACTACGCCACCATCAACAGATGGCGTTGTCTGCGTAGCACCCAATACCAGGGAGTTAGAGTGCAGGCCCATAGATGGTGTGTAAATCGCTGCTCCATACTCCAGCGACAGTGTCGATATCGTAACACCTCCCCACTAAAAAAGAATTTTGTTTGGTTTCTAAAAAGAAAATAAACCAAAGTAGTATGTTTGAATACAACCAACCAGACTAATGCAGATAGATGAATAATGTTAAGAGAAAGTCCTGCTTTAGGAACTGTATTAATCGAGATGTCTTGACCAGAGTGAACTCCAAGAACATTGGCAATGATCTGACTGACGTGCTTGTCAGGAGCAACATCACCTTACGCGTCTTGGTTAATGTAAGCTCCGAGGTTCAGAAGAGGATAAAAAAACTGACGCGAACAGACATCTCCCTGAGCCGTGGTACTGCTGGTGGCTGTATGCAGAAATCGTTTCTTGTACCGATCTGGCAGTCCCTCAGGGGGACAGGAATCTGGAATACAGGATATTGATTATTTTGGTTAACAAGTACAGCCTGGAGATACATACCAATGTCTTAACTGATGACTTGGTTCGCGCATATTCCCGCAGTGACTGTTTGTACACTTATGAAGAGTGCGTTCACTCTTCCAACGTCAGGGCTGCCAACATTCCTTATAATGTTGGCACTTGGCCCACTAGTTACACAAGGGACGTCAACCTGTCGAGAACGGTCACTCATTAAAACATTTCTTGTACAGTACAGTACTACCAACATCCTCAATCACCTCTTGGTCCCTTCCTCTGTCTACAACAATCATCATGGGACGAATGTCCTGTCCTTGATACCGCTCCACCATGCTTCTGTGTGCTATCATCTGCTTGTCTGTCCACTGGTCACCTCTCTCTTCACCTCATGTGCAAAAATGAGGTAAATACAAATGACTCGTAAGAAACATTAGGCTAAATGATGAATAATTTTCACAATCCTCCAATGTCCATTATGGACTGTTTCCATCAGCCTGGTTTGGAACATTGGCAGTTCTACAATTGATGCACATACCTCTGAAGTCTGGGGAGTTCTTGATCGGTCACGTGAGTTTGGGTTACCTGCCATCACACCTGATTCTAGGGTATCTGCTCCAGTTTTGAATTGTACACTATACCTACGAGTGCCCTGAGGCGCTCTGCGCACCACTGATTTAGCGCCTCAAGGCACTTTGCGCAGTGCGGTGGTTAAAGGTTTAGTTTAAGTGTGATCTATCATTATCGTATTCTGCTAAGCTTAGCATTACGTTATAATATACAGTATATAGCAGAAACACATTAGTGATTTTTAGTTTATTATTTTTAGGGATTAAACTAAATATTCTTAAGAACTTTTTATAATATTCTTTAAGAACTTTTTGTTTGTTTTTAGGTAACATTGTAATGTTTTGGTCCCATGACGGGGAGTTGTTCTTGCTGTACGTGGATACAGATACTGATTAGATGCGAGGAAAACCAGGTTGGTGTCGTCATGACTCCGGACATTTACCACGAGAAACAGGTATTGTAATAACATTAATTTTCACACTTTTAGGCAATACAGTGTTTGTCACCCTTAAATATTTTCTTTTGGAGTCATTTCTTGTTTATTCTTACATCTTGCTATAGTATCACTTGATATTATTTTATTTATTTTACTTCAGTCTTTCAGTAACTTCAATTGTCTCTTTTTCTGGGGGGAGCCCCGTCGGCTCCCCGGAGCTTTACCGGCTGATATGCTAATGTCAGACTTTGGCATCAGTCATGTGTATGGAGTTCTAGGGCCTACCGGGGACCACGAGCCAGAACCTGGCCCCCTCAGAGAGGCAAGGGGAGCAATGGCCTATAGAAACCCCCGTGTGGTTGGAAGCATTCTATGTCTGCCATCGACCGGGTCAAGCATCCAGAAAGGTAAGCATTCCAAAACAAACCCCTATTCTGGTGAAAATTGCTACCTAAGCCGAACTAGTGAATAGAACTCTTCAACAGAAAACACGGAAACTAGTATGACGTCATACGTCACCGCGCCGCTGTCTGCGCAGCTCCCCCCTCCCCGGGAGGGGGAAGGGGGAGCCCCAGACCTCCCACGCCGGCTATCCACCCATCAGTTCTTCGGCTGATGCTATAGGCAATGGTTATGTGCTCCGGCTCCAGTGGTTGTTTCAGCACTGTACCTAGAGTGTGGTGTCTGTTTTCTAGGTGGTGCGTGAGCCGGGTGTGATTCTTCAGTACTCGGGCTGCATGCGCCTAGGGTTCCCTTCCCTAGGTGCCCTGTAAGTACTGCCCTTGGGGCTTGGGGCCACCTTCCACAAGTTCCTTGGGTCCTGCCCCTGCTTGGCCGTTTACCGCTTGGTTTTCGGCCGCTCTTTGTGTGCTCGGGTGTTCTGTCTCCCTTGTTCGCCTTAGAGTAAGGGGCAGTGTTTGCACTGGTGGGGCGCGGGGTACTGTGCAGCTTGTCTTTACCAATCATAGCGGCCGGCTCTGTTCCGCTTGGGTACGCTGTCCTCTTGCGGGGTTTTCTTTTTCTTTTGTTTATATACCTGGTGGGGGGGTCTGCCTTCGTTCTTGCCCCTTGTGTCCCTTGTGTTCTGAGTATTTCTGGTGGTACCCCCTGCTAGGTCCCCGTGAGTGTACACGTCCCGGGGGTTCAGCTCTTAGAAAGTTGTTTGGTAGCTTGGGTGCCGGTTAGCAGTACCCTGCCTGGGATTACCTGAGCGCGAGTCCTCTTAAAGTAAACGCTCGGGACCCTGGGAAACCCCTGGGGGCGCGCGGGTCCGATGGATGTGACCCCAGAGCCCCCCCCCTCGCTTCCAGCGAGTTTGAGGGTTGCTCTCACCTTTTGTCTCTGGGTGACTCTCTGTTTTGCCTCCGTCTGCTGCCTGTGGGGTCGGTGACACCTTCGACCCGGTGTCCTGCGAGTTTGGTTGCTCGTTGTGGCTCGGTTACCCAGTTGTGCTAACAAAGCGGGTGCGGGCAGCAGGGGCGTTGCACTTGAGCCTTGGTGGTGGCAACGTTCTCGTGGTTTCCTCCCCGGGAGCCCCGGGGCTGCCCCGTTGTATTTCGTTTTTCCCCTGGTTCACCCTTCCTGCCTGCATCCGGTTCCTTACCGTCTGTAGGTTCAGGGCGGGGTGTTTGGTGGTGTTGAGACTCGGGCAGTCTCGGGTAATTCCCCTTCCGGGGTAGTGACGGGGGCATTTGGGCCTGTTCCTCCAGCCGTGTTGTATGAGTCTGCCAGTGGGCTCCCTTCCTTAGTGTTTTCACGGCTGCCCCGGTTTTCTGGTACGGCCGGGGCTTTGGGGGAACGGCTCGGCCCCGGGGCCTGTCGTGTAGGTTCCCGGGGCTGGGGAGGGGCTGACTTGGGGGGCCTTGGCCCCGTTAGACCCCGTGGGGGGTTTTATCCCCCTCTAGGCGGGGCTTGTGGTTACGCGGAGTGGGGTTTTTCCTCCCCACTCGCCGTACGTGCTGTTGGACGTCGGCCCCTCCCCGGGCTCGGTTCCTTGGCCTTTGAGTCGGTTGGTTCCGTCCTGTGGGTGGATGTTTCCTCCCCCGCTTTTTGGGACGGTGTTTTTGTCATGTTTCCCCGTTCGATGGGGTTCTGCGTGACTTTTGATCTCGGGTGCGCCTGCGCCTTCGTGTGCCTTCGGGACTAGTGTTGGCTTCTGTGTTCTCGAGGGTACGGGAAGGTTTTTCGCTACTTCCCGCATTATTGGAACGTCTGTCGGCTCCTAGTACTTGTCGCCCTGTTGGGCTACTTGTCGCCCTGTTGGGCTACTTGTTGGTGCTTTGTTGGTCGGGCCGGGGGTGTGTCGTTTTTGTGTTCAGTGGCGGCCCTCTGCTGTTGTTTGCGTGCCACGGCGTTTGGGTCCGGAGCGCGTTTTGCGTTGATCCGGTTCTGTTCTTCCCGGTTCGCGGGTGATGGTGTCCCGGGTGGTCAGCCGTGTTCTTGTGGCTAAGCTGCCTGTGTTCTTCCCTCATGCCTGTGGCGTTCGTGGCTTCGCTGCTCTCGCTGCCGTCTGGGCGACGTGGCCTTGCAGTCTTTCGGGCATGGATTTTTGGTGTTCGTGCAGGGGCCTTGCTGCTCGTGGTTCTCGTGTTGTTCCCGGGATTTTCGGGGCTGTGGCGCCTTGGGTTGGCGTTTGCTGCCGGTTGTCTCGCCTCCTTGGGGGGTGCGTGGTGTCCGCCTCCCGGTTTTGTCCCTTTGACCTTCCTCTGTGGGTAGTTAGCTCCGGGGAGCCGACGGGGCTCCCCCCAGAAAACCAGCGTTGAATGTAATGAAACGCCATTTTCTGGGTGAGACCCGGAGGCTCCCCGGCAACCCTCCCTCCCTCCGGTCGGCGTTTTTCGCGTGTTTTGACATCCAGCCTCAGAACTGATGGGTGGATAGCCGGCGTGGGAGGTCTGGGGCTCCCCCTTCCCCCTCCCGGGGAGGGGGGAGCTGCGCAGACAGCGGCGCGGTGACGTATGACGTCATACTAGTTTCCGTGTTTTCTGTTGAAGAGTTCTATTCACTAGTTCGGCTTAGGTAGCAATTTTCACCAGAATAGGGGTTTGTTTTGGAATGCTTACCTTTCTGGATGCTTGACCCGGTCGATGGCAGACATAGAATGCTTCCAACCACACGGGGGTTTCTATAGGCCATTGCTCCCCTTGCCTCTCTGAGGGGGCCAGGTTCTGGCTCGCGGTCCCCGGTAGGCCCTAGAACTCCATACACATGACTGATGCCAAAGTCTGACATTAGCATATCAGCCGGTAAAGCTCCGGGGAGCCTCCGGGTCTCACCCAGAAAATGGCGTTTCATTACATTCAACGCTGGTTTTTTTCATCTTTTGCAGTGTTTCTTTAAATTGTGAATATTTTCTCTGACTCTTTATGGTAACTTACCAAGGTAATCATTGCTCTTTCCCCAACCCATGACATTTAAACAAGTACTGTAATGTATTATATTCATCAGTGATTATTGTTTAAAAAAATCACATTTATTAGTCAACTTCAGTACATTGGCAGATATTAGTCCAGTTTCTATTAGGTAGTGGAAACTAAGATATTCAACATTGAAAGGGTTCACCGTACCGTACTGTACTGTACAGATTTTCAGTGGACAAAAGGATAAATTAAAATAGATTTTAATCATGAAATAGACAAACGTAAGTAGCAATAATGTCATATGATAATCCTACAAAAAATACTACAAGGAAAGAATATAACTTTTGGATATCGTAGCTTTTGAAACAAGAACTGCTGCAATATTGATACCATCCAAGGCTTTGTTCACAGCTGGCTAAAACACCCATCACATAATGCTTAACTGCAATATGCATATGTGGACTACATTTTTTGTAAGTACTGTAGAGTACATGAAAGAGATACTGAGTATATAAAAGAACTTTGCATGACATTTAAAAAATACAATACTGGTACCAGTACCAATTCTGCAAGCGCAAATATTGACTAACTGAAGTGATAAAATGTAGACGAACACACAAGACAAATTCTGTGAAATGAAAAGGTACTGTAAGTACAATCAAAGAAATCTTATCATTAGTCAGTATAAAAATTATCCTCTCAAAACCATATGAGATTTAAAATGGAGTTTGGCTGGTGTCCAGTGGGGCTTGATGGGTTCGGCTGCAGTAGATATTTAGATTTACACTGGAATCTTTGCCTATATTACAGGGGGAAGGGGGGAAGAGGCCAAAAAACTTGACAGGCAAATAAATACCGTACTAATATTAATCAAATATCAAATGAAATAGAGTAATGTTAGATACAATGTTGATTATGAATCTTTTTACATAATAGTTTGTGATATAATTCTTTTCAGATTAAGGAGCTATGTGCTCTTCATTCACTCAACAACCTCTTCCAAGATAGTGGGGCATTTGCAAAGAGTGAATTGGACAGCATTTGTTATGCTCTGTCTCCCGACAACTGGTTTAATCCACACAAATCCCTGCTTGGCACTGGCAATTATGACATCAATGTAATAATGGCAGCTCTTGTTACAAAGGGCTGTGGTGTAGTTTGGTTTGATAAGAGAAAGTAAGTGAACAATAATATCATTTTCATTATAGATATACTGTATTATATTGTACAAACATATAGTGGATAGATTTGTTGCAAATTTTCTTGACAAGAGCATTTGGTAAATTCTTTATTTTATAGTTTCACTGTAGAAGATTGACACAGCTACTGTACTTTAAAAGAAAAAGAGTTTTTTGTTTGTTTATTACTGTACAGAGTCTTGTGTTCAGTGTTGTTATATAAAATAATGTATACTGTTAAGCCTCTTAGGCCTATATATATTACAGTGGGGCCTCGACTTACGAATTCAATCCGTTCCCAGAGACGGGTAGTAAGTCGAAACGAATTTTCCCGTAAGAAATAATGTGAACTGAATTAATCTGTTCCACACTCCAAAAACTATTAACTTGAAAATACATTTTATACTGAATACCACTCTTTTTCTGGGGAGGAACCCTGTCGGCTCCCCGGAGCTATCCAGGCTGAATGGATATGTATGACTTTCTGGCATCAGTCAATGTGCAAAGAGTTCTTGCCTACCAGGGACCATGAGCCAGAACCTGGCCCCCTCAAGAGAGGCACGAGGAGCAATGACCTATAGAAACCTCTGTGTGGTTGGGAGTATTCTATGTCTGCTATCGACCGGATCTGGCCCAGAAAGGTAGGTGCCCCAAAACAAACTCCTATTCTGGTGAAACTATTGCTACTGAAAGCTGAACGAGTAGACAGAACTCCCCAAATGAAAATTAGTAAACGGGCTTGTTGTCATCATGTTGTCGCGCCGCTGTCTGCTCAATCCCCCCCCCCCCCATGGGAGTGGGAAGGGGGGGAGCCTCAGACCCCCACGTCGGCGAGCCACCCTGCAGTTCTTAGGCTGATGTGCTACTGGCGTGGTCTTGTGCCTCTGGCTCCAGCGATTTGTCTCAGTTTCTGTGCCTTGGGCATGGACTGTCTCTACTAGTGGTTTGCAAGCCAGGAGTAATATTTTTCAGTACTCGGGCTGCATGTGCCTAGGGCCACCTTCCCGAGGTGCCCTGTAAGTACTACCTTACACAAGTCACCTCGGGATCTACCACCCACTGTGTCTTTTACTGCTCTGTACTTGGCTGCCCTTGGACTCAACTGGGGTCTTTGTTGCCCTGTGTTTGCCTCTGGGGGGGGTTGCGCATTTGAGCATCTTAATGAGTGTTTGTTTGCCCCTGCCCTTCCGTGGGATGTTGGTATTATGCAGCTTGATGTGCAGGTTCTTTCCCTTTCGGCTGCATTGGTCATGGTGGACTTACATACGCGGGGCCTGCTGGCCCTGCGGTTCTTCTCCCTCCTTGAGCTGTCTTCAGCCTGGCTTGTGGTGGATGCGGAGGAGCTTGAGTCACCTCTGGGTCTGGTACGTTGCCTTTGGTGGCGTGTGCGTTGTCTGTGCTGTTGAAGCTGTTTGCGCTGCTCCTGCGGTTTTGCAATTTTTTGCTTCTTGGCTCGCGTGTCGGCGAGCGGTGCTTGCTTCTTCCTTGGAATCCTGCTTGGGCCCCTGGCTCTTAGATTGTCTTTGATTTTTATCGACTTTGGTTAGTTGCCGTCCTGTGTGGGAATTGTTGGTCCTCCAGGGGGAGGGGGCTTATGGGGGGGTCGTGCCAGGACTCAGGGGTTCTGTTTCTCATGGTAAGCCAGTGGTGTCAGATTCGGAGCCGGTGCAACCTTCAGTGCCATCTGTTTCTGTTTGGCGTAGTGATCGCACTTTGTGACTTTGTGCTATTTGGGTTCTCGTAAGGTGTGTTGACCCTTTCGCAGTTCATCTCATTGAAGGGGCGGTAGGGGGGGGAGAGGGGGGATTCGTTCTGTATGCTTGCGCCTGGTCAGACGATTCATGGACCTTTTGGGTCGTTTCGTACAGTCTGTGGTGGCGTAGGGTGGCTGCTCCTCCTTTGGGGGGTTCGGAGCTGGTGGTGCAGGCCTCTTCTCCTGCGTTCTGTCAAGTTGTCTTGGAATGGGTTCGCTTGGGAGTAGTTGAAATGACCTCGTCCCTCAGGTGGATCTCCCGCCTGTTTCCTTTTCCGAAACGGGACTGCACAAACCTCTGGTTCATTCTGGACTTGTCTCATCTGAACCCGGAGGTTTATTGCCCCTCCTTTCAGATGACTACTATGTCCCAGGCCCGTCTTCTGTTGGAGCCAGGTACTTGGATAGTGTCCCTGGACCTCCAGGACGTGTATTGGCATGTCCCGATTCATCAGCAGTTCAGGGACTGGCTCGGTTTTGTGGTGGGACGTCAAGGTTACTGCTTTTGTTGCCTTCCAATTAGCTTGAATCTGGCGCCTCGCGTTTTCGCTCGCCTTACTCGAGTCGTGGTGGCCCGCCTGTGTCTGTTAGGTGTTCGGATTCTGGCCTACCTCGACGACTGACTGGTTCGGGCTCCCAACCTGTCCTCGTGTCTGCTCGCCAGGGATTTGTTTCTTTCCCAGCTCGCCGAGTTCAGGTTCTTGGTGAACTGGTGGAAGTCCCATATGGTTCCCTCTCAGGTTCGGTCTTGGCTTGGTCTTGTGTGGAACGCTCGGGCTGCTTCCTTATCCCTTCCTCCGGTGGCTTTGCTTCCTTGTCTCATCCTCTAGCGGCTCTGCTTCATCTGCGATCCCGCCTTCGTCTATTTCTGAGGGGTTCCCGGGTAACGTGGTGGTTGCTCGAGGGTTTGTGCAGAAGCCTGAACTTTGCCATGATGGTCTACCCGCCAGATTGGATGTGACTTTGTCAGCTGTTCTGGTTCCTTCGGGAACGTCCTTTCCGTCTCTCTCGCGACCGCTGGGTTTGGCCTCCAGGGGCCTTGCGTCGGTGGCTGTGTCACCGGCTTCCTCTTCGGGTTTTTCGGGGTTCAATGCCTTGGCACCTACCCAATCCCTCGCTCGATGTGTTTACGGATTCGTCGTCTCTCGGCTGGGGTCTTGTGACCAGTGTTCACCAGGCCGGCCAGGGGCGATGGGTTTCATCCTTCCGTCGGGCTCACAGCACGGTGTGGGAGTTTGTGGCTGTTTGGATGTTGCTCCGGAGGATTCGGGTCTCTCGCGGATCGATGGTCCGGCTCCATTCGGACTGTTCCCCAGTGGTTCATTACATGAACCGCGGGGGTTTGATGCGGTCCTTGGCTCTTTGTGGCTAGTCGCTTCGGTTGACTCGTCTGCCGAGTTCTCGGGGTCTGGCTGTCCTGACAGTTCACATTCGGAGGGTGTCCAGTGTCCTGCTCGTTTGCTAATTTTTAGTTTGGGGAGTTCTGTTCACTCTTCCAGCTTTTGGTAGCAATAGTTTCACCAGAATAGAGGTTTGTTTTGGGGTGCCTACCTTTCTGGGTGCCAGATCAGATCGATGGCAAACATAGAATGCTCCCAACCACACGGGGGTTTCTATAGGCCATTGCTCCTCATGCCTCTCTTGAGGAGGAGGGGGGGGGGGAGTCAGTTCTGGCTCATGGTCCCTAGTAGGCAAGAACTTTGTGCACATTGACTGATGGTTACCTTGAGGTTATTTCGGGGCTTAGCGACCCCGCGACCCGGTCGTCGACCAGGCTTCCTCGTTGCTGAACTGGTTAACCAGGCTGTTGAACGAGACTGCACACAGCCTGACGTATGAGTCACAGCTTGGTTGATCCTTTGGAGGCGTTTGTCACGCTCTCTCTTGAACACTGTGAGGGGTCGGCCAGTTATGCCCCTTATGTGTAGTGGAAGCGTGTTGAACAGTCTCGGGCCTCTAATGTTTATAGTTCTCTCTCAGAGTACCTGTTGCATCTCTGCTCTTCAACGAGGGTATTCTGCACATCCTGCTATGCCTCCTGGTCTCATGCAATGTTATTTCTGTGTGCAGTTTTGAGACCAGCCCTCTAATATTTTCCATGTGTAAATTATTATGTATCTCTCCTGCCTGCGCTCAAGAGAATACAGATTTAGGCTCTTTAGTTGGTCCCAGTAGTATAGATGTTTTACTGAGTGGATTCTAACAGTAAAGGATTTCTGCACTTTCTCCAGGTCAGCAATTTCTCCAGCTTTGAAAGGGGCTGTCATTGTGCAGCATTGTGCATTGTTTTGTCTCTTGGTAAGTAGCTCCGGGGAGCCGACGAGGCTCCCCACAGGAAACCAGCGTTAAATGTAATGAAACGCCATTTTCTTGGCGAAACTCGGAGACTCCCTGGCAACCCTCCCTCGGTCCGGTCAGCAGTTTTTCGCATGTTTTTTATATCCAGCTTCAGAACTGTGGTCTTGGGTAGCAGGTACGAGGGGTCTGGGGCTTCCCCTTACCCCTCCTGGGAAGGGAGGGGGGGAGCTGCGCAGACGATGGCAATGTGGTGACGTCATTCTCGTTTTATTTGGGGAGTTCTGTCCACTAGTTTGGCTCTCAGTAGCAATTTATTAATCAGAATAGGGGTTTGTTTTGGAATGCTTACCTTTCTGGGTGCCTGACCCAGTTGATGGCATAGAATGCTTCCAACCACATGGGGGGTTTCTATAGGCCATTGCTCTTCGTGCCTCTCTGAGGGGGGGTGGGGGGCAAGTTCTGGCTTGTGGTCCCTGGTAGACCTAAGAACTCCATTCACACTGACTGATGCCAAAGTCTATTTTCAGCAATATGAGCCTGGATGGCTGTAGGGAGTCTCCGGGTCTCACCCAGAGAATGCTGTTTCATTACATTCAACGCTGGTTTTTAAAAGACAATACCAATCAGAATAGCAGCAAAGGAGTAGATTGCAAGACATTTTCTTTGAGCTGTGCCAGGAGCAGATTTACATGCAGTATATTTGTACATATTTACATTGTAAGTTTATATGTAGTACTGAATCACTGTTTATATAATTTATTTGTAAATAGCTAGAGTTATTCCACACATTGCGTAAACTAAAGTAATGAACAGAAGACTCTCAGGTAGGAACACTCGACCAATGTAAAGGAATGGGGAAGGGGGGAGGTTCTTACAGTTAACTATGATGTTTATAGTTAGGGAACACTTTACAAATAAAATGGCATCTATTTAAATAAAGGAGGGGA